CGACGGAAGGACGAAATTGGTCCCGAAAATTGAAGTTCAAGGATTTTTTTAGTACTTTTTGAAGTTTGAGGGTAGTTTTAGTCCAAAAATGAAAGTTGAGGGACTGAATCGGGGATATAACCTATATATTTATATGGACCGATGATTATCGGTCCGTATATGGTCGGTTTGAAACACTCATTTTTCTACTAGTGCTATACACTAGAAAACAAGTATACAACGTTGTATTTAACAAAAATTTTTCAAAAATGATGGCTTTTTTCTTGAATTTTCTCAAAATTCTGATTATTTTCCAGCATTTAATGTTGGAAAATAAATAATCTGCACCATTTCCCTTGAAAATTTTCAAAATGCTGTGTTTTTTGTTTACATGTTTCAAAATTTAGATTACTTTCCAACACCTAACATTGGAAAATAAGTATTGTGCACCATTGCACACTTAAACTTCCAAAATGCCGCCTTTCCTTTTAAAATTTTCAAAATTTAGATAATTTTCCAGCATAAAGTGTTGAAAAATAAGTATTCTGCAACTTCAATCCTGAAAATTTTCAAAATGGCACCTCATGCCTATACAAAACTACCTCTCTTTCTTCACCATATTTTCTCCCATCTCCTTCCTTGTCCTTCATTCCCTCTCTTTCTATGCCATTCACTCTCCTTTTTCTTCTTTACCTCTTCTTCTGCTTTCCTTTTTTCCATTTCTTTCTTTTACTTTTATCTTACATTCCTTCTCATGTTCTCTCTTTCCATTAATTCCTCTTTGTTTTTCTTTTCTTCTACATTCTTTCTCATGTTCTCTCCATTTGCTATTCCTCTTATCTCTCATTTTTTTTTACGGTTTGTTAATATTCATTTAAAAAATATACTAGTTCAATTTTTTATTTTTGTAGGTGTATGGTTATATATCCATTAATCCCAATTAAAGGTAAGGTAATATTATTTTAAATTTATTATTATTTTCAAAATTTCACATGGATCCTACACTAACTCACTTCATTTTTTCTTATAGGTGTTAAAATTTTTAAATATGTTGAAATTCGAGATATTATTCATTTCAATTTTTAGAAAGTAATTTTCATTTGTTCTATTTTTCTCTCATCCATAAACTTATATATATCACTAAACTAATTTAATTTTTTCTATGTCTTAGGTATTTCTATGAATCACATGGCATTAAGGTACATTTATGTTTTTGTTTGTTTATTTGGAAAATTTTATAAAATATATGTACAATGTAATTCTTTGAATATGATTGAATTATAGACTAAAACTTATTAAAAATAGTTGTGTTTATCTTAGGAGAGTATTTATTAATTTAAGTTGGTTTAATTAGTTTACTTTATGTTGACTCAATGCACTCCAAGAGGAGGGTGAATTGGAGTTGGAGAATTTTCACCTCTTTGCAACCACCAAACAAAAATTAAAAATTGAGTTTAGAAGAAGAGCTTGCACAATGATTTTATAGAGGTTCGGTCCAACCACTTGGAGCCTAGTCCTCTAACTTTGCTTCACTCACTAAGGATTTCCTCCACACTCTCCACTAACAAAAACAATGGTGGCTTAAAGGAGCCACTCAATCCTTTACAAGAAGAAAGGTTTCTCTCAAATCTCACCCCTTTACACTTTAATCCCAAAGATCCTCTCTACAAATCACTCTTGAAGGAATCAACACACCCCCAAGATCACTCACTAATAGCACAAGAAGAGGATTACAAACAAAGATCTCTCAAAGATCAAAAACTCAAGTTAAAGCACAAGTTGGTAGGTAAAGATCTTCAATACAATGCTCTCTAAACATGTTCATATTTGTTACCAACCATATTTATAGCCCCTTGCTTGAAAATAGCCGTTTCTAGCCGTTGGGGGTCATTAAATGCTCTGCAGGACACATGGCTCGAGTTGCAGAACTGTCAGGAGAGTCGACTTAACTTCCTAGAGCCGGCTCTACACAGCCGGCTCACCATTTTTGCAGCCGGCTCTGCGGGTTTCCTGCACATTCTGATTTCTTCCACAACCGGCTGCAAAGCCTAGAGCCAGCTTTGAGATTCTAACTTTAAACACATTAAATAATCTTTAAATAACTCGACTGTTGTGCATTAAATACACCCCCACAACCGGCTACAAATTGGGAGTAGGCTTTGCTTCCATTTTCTGCCGTGCCAACACAGCAGTTGAATTTCTGGCCCGTAGAGCCAACTCAACAAAATTTGCAGCCAGCTCTCTGCATTTTTGCTTCCCAGAGCCGGCTGCAATTTTCTTAAGCTAGCTCTCTGCATATTTTTATCCTTTGAGCCATTTTTAATGCAATCTCATTTTGCTTACTTTGCAGTATATTGGCAATTTAACTACACACTTAAATAAATCAATTAGTCACTCAAATATGTTTTGTGATCATCAAAATCATAGGTACAACAATCTCCCCCTTTTTGATGATGACAAAACACTTTGATCATAAAGCATACACTACTTAAAAAAGTGCCTTTTTCGGTCCAGATATTTCAGATTACTTGACCGAAAAGCATATTATTTCGGTCATATGTAATGACCGAAAACTAAGTTCGACCAAATTAAATGGAGAAAGGCATGCAATTCGGTCTCAAGTGATTTCAGTCATTGAGACTAACCGAAATAAAACAATTTCGGTCAAGCACACTGACCGAACAATACAAAAAAAAAATCATATACTAAATAGTAACAAATTAGTATAAAATTCACTAATTGGGTCATAAAAAATGACCGAACTAAAATCTGCAAAAAATGAGTTTTTCAGTCAGTTGAACTGAATGAACAAATAATGCAAATCTACAGATTTTGCAGAAAGATGCATGGTAAATTTGCATAGCAAATTTTTCAGATTCGCTAGTTAAAAAAAATTACTCCAAAAAAATGAAAGGGAATTATTCCGTATGCACACATGGGAGTTCTGAAAATATGCAGATCTCCCATGCTTGTTTCGGTCAGTCACACTGACCGAAACAAGCAATGAATCTGCATTGAGATTCATCATGGCTGTTTTGGTCAGTGTGACTGACCGAAACATGCCTGCCAAAATCCTTCACCTGCATCGTGCAGATTTATCCACGGCTATTTTGGTCAGTGGGACTGACCGAAACATGCCTCAAAAAAATCACCCCCCCGCCTGGAAACATGCAGAGCTTTAGACTTATTCTTGCTGGTTTCGGTCAGTACATGCCTGCAAAAATCTTTCACCTGCATGCTGCAGATTCATGGCTGTTTCGGTCAGTGGGATTGACCGAAACACTCCAGAAATAAATCACCCCCCTGCTCCGCATGGGAATGTGTAGGGCTTGAGATATATTTTGCTGGTTTCAGTCAGTGAGACTGACCGAATAAAGTTGGGATCTGCACTTAGATATTGTCACGCCCCAGAACCCAAATCCAGGGGCGTGGCAGACGCCGTGCACTCGTGAGAGGGTCCCACAAATGCACAAGGCTCGAAACTTACTGAGTTCATACTTAGCAATTCAGGTAATTCAGATCTAAGCCTTTTTAATTACCAAATCTTTACCAGTCAGATGTACAAGATTTATCATTTCATATATACAGTCATGACTAGCACTAAATTCTGTACACAAAATTTTCTATGTCAAGCATGGGTGACTAACGGCTTAGCTACAAAAACCTAAGTCCAAAAGTGCCTAGCCGTCTAGCTCGTCACTCCCCCGGGCTTCCCACGCGTCAGGTCTCACTACCTGAAATGGTGGACAAGGAAATCGTGAGATAAAATATCTCAGTAAGTAAACATGGGTGCCCGAAATCAAAATTTAAAGCATGCCAAATAATCGGTTAAAACATAAACAGAGCGTTTCAATAACAAACCATAAATGCAAGGTAAAATCACGTAGTGGTCTCCTCTATTAGTCATGGCCAGTGTTATAAACCTCCCACTGGCAGGCTACAGAAATTACTAGTGTATAATCCCCACTAGTAGGGCCACGAGCGAACCG